TGAACTCCAGGATGAACATTTCCCATCAACCACCACCCTCTGTCTTCTTACAGTTAGCCAATTTCTGATCCAAACTGCTAAATCACCCTCAATCCCATGCCTCCGTATTTTCTGCAATAGCCTACCGTGGGGAAGCTTATCAAACGCTTTACTGAAATCCATATACACCACATCAACCGCTTTACCCTCATCCACCTGTTTGGTCAAACCTGTTTGTTTTTAAGGTGAGATGAGAAAGATTTAAAAGGGACCTGAGGAGCACAGGGGGTGGTTCCTATGTGGAATGACATGCCAGAGGAAGTTGGAGATGTAGGCACAGTTACAACATTTAAAAGACATGTGGAAAGGTACATGAATAGGAAAGGTTTAGAAGGACATGAGCAGGCAAGTGGGATACGTAGATAGGGTTGACAGAATCTTTTTTTCCCCCCAGAGTTGAAATGTCTAAAACTAGGGGGCATGCATTTAAGGTGATGGGGGAAAGTTCAAAGGAGATGTGAGGGGCAAGTTTTTCCCTACACAGAGTATGGTGAGAGTCTGGAACACGCTGCCAGAGGTGGTAGTGGAGACAGATACAATAGGGGCATTTAAGAGACTTTTGGATAAGCACATGAATAAGAAAGGAATGGAGGATATGGACCAAAGCAGGCAGAAGGAATTAGTTTAATTTAGAGTCATGTTTGGCACATCATCATGGGCTGAAGGGCCCATTCCTGTGCTGTACTGTTCTACATTCTATATTCTACTGTCCTAACCTGAACCCTCTTTATGATGGAGTGAATCTCATTTGCAAGAGCTAAAGTGGCGATGTTCACTTCTGATTGCACAATGTTTACCATCATTTTTGACTCCTTAGATACTGACACAATTCATGTCCACATGTTGCAAAATATGGACAATATTCAAACTTGGGCTGATAAGTGCCAAGTAACATAGTTTGGCACTTTGTGTGGTGCAAATGACCTTTTCCAACCAAAGTCAATATAACCATCACCACTTGACACTCAATAACATTAACATTGCTGACTCCCCCACTATCAACATCCTGGGAGTTACTATCTACCCAGAATTGAACTGGACAAGCCATATGAATACCATCAGAATACTCTTCACTTGCGTGGTAGATGAGCAATAAATGTTGGCCCAGACAGCAAAATGTCAACCACACTGCTGTGCATCTGGAGTCACACATAGGCCAGACCAGGTAAGGAAGGTTGCTCTTAAAAACAATTAGCAATGGCTACATGGTCACCATGGAGCTAGTTTATTTTTAAAAAGTGCAGATTTTATTGAATTCAAGGGTCATCATCCAGCATGGTGGGATTCAAACCCACATGGTGGGGAAGCTCTTGGAGAAGATACTGAGGGACAGGATATATGCGCATTTCGAAGAAAATGGACTAGTTAGTGACAGGCAGCATGGTGTTCTACAGGGAAGGTCATGTCTCACCAATGTGATCAAATTTTTTGAAGAGGTGACAAAGATAATTGATGAGGAAGGCTGTGAATGTCATTTATATTGACTTTAGTAAGGCATTTGATAAAGTCTCACGTGGCAGGTTAGTACAAAAACTAAAATTACATGGGATTCAGGGTGGGCTGGCTAGATGGATATAAAACTGGCTTGGTCATAGAAGATAGAGGGAAATGGTGGAAGAGTGTTTTTCAGAATGGAGACCGGTAAGTAGTGGTGTTCCACAGGGGTCAGTCTTAGGTCCTCTGATCTGGAGGAAAATGTGGGTGGTTTGATCAATAAGTTTGCAGATGACATGAAGACTGATGGAGTTGCCGACAGCGCCAACGATTGTGAAAGGACACAACAGGATGTAGATAGATTGGTGACTTGGGCACAGACACAGCAGATGGAGTTTAATCCAGAGAAATGCGAGGTGATGCATTTTGGAGGATCAAATTTAGGTGTGAATTATACTGTTAATGACAGAACCCTTAGGAACATTAACATACAGATGGATCTGGGCGTGCAGGTCCACAGTTCCCTAAAAGTGGCAACACAGGTGGCCAAGGTGATTAAGAAGGTATATGGCATGCTTGTACACCATGCCCCGGCCAATGAAGGCAAGAGTTGGCAAAACCTGTTGCAGCTATATAAAAGAGATAACAAGGTGTAGAGCTAGATGAACACAGCAGGCCAAGCAGCATCAGAGAAGCAGGAAGGCTGAAATTACGGGCCTAGACCCTTCTTCAGAAAAGTTTTTCTGAAGAAGGGTCTAGGCCCGAAACGTCAACCTTCCTGCTCCTCTGAAGTTGCTTGGCCTGCTGTGTTCATCCAGCTCTACACCTTGTTATCGCAGCTATATAAAACCCTTGTTAGGCCACATTTGAAAAATTGTGTGCAGTTTTGGTTACCAGAAGGACATGGAAGCTTTGGAGAGAGTGCAGACAAGGTTCACCAGGATAGTGCCCAGTCTCGAGGGCATTAGCTATGAGGAAAGATTAAAAAGACAAGGACTGTTTTCACAGGAAAGACAGCAGTTGACAGGTGACCTGATAGAGATCTACAAAATTATGAGGGGGATAGGCAGGGTGGATAGGCAGAGGCTTTTCCCCAGGGTTGAAGTTCCAATTACAAGGGGGCACAGGTTCAAGGTGAGAGGGCAAAAATGTTCAAGGGAGATGTGCGAGGGAAGTTTTTCCACACAGAGAGTGGGAGGAGCCTGGAACACACTGTCAGAGGAGGTGGTGGAAGTGGGCACGTTGGCAACATTTAAGGGGCATCTGAATGGTTACGTGAATAAGGAGGGAATAGAAGGATACAGACCAAATAAGGTTTGATCTTTAGATTAGTCAGGGTGTGATGACTGGTACAGGCTTGGAGGGCCAAAGAGCCTGTTCCTGTGCCGTACTTCCAAGCTTTTGTTCTTATCCTCAGAATATTAAAGTGGGGTTCTGGGTTACTAGACCAGTGACATTGCCACTACACCACCTTCTCCCCATCCCCAATTCCATTAACTCAAGAATCTTGACACCACCCAAGTCAAAGCATCTCTGTTTGCACGTTCTTCCTGTGCCTGCGTGGGTTTCTTCTGGATGCTCCGGTTTCCTCCCCCAGTCCGAAGATGTGCAGGCTAGGTGGATTGGCCATGCTAAATTGCTCAATTGTGTTCAGGGATGTTTAGATTAGGTGGGTGAAAGGGAGATGGTTCTGGGTGGGATGCTTTGAGAGTCAGTGTGGACTTGTTCACCAAAGGGCCTGTTTCCATACTGTAGGAATTCTATAATCTAATCTAATCCCTTTTAATTGGCCCCCATCATCACATTAAAAATTTTACTTCCTCCACCATTATACCCAGTGGTAGCAGTGTGCACCATGTGTAAAATGCACTACTGCAATTCACCAAAGCTTTCAACAACACTTTCCAAACCCATGACTCTACCATCCGAAAGGACAAGGCAGCAGATACACGTTGACACCATCACCATCCTGCCTTAGAGCTATACCATCACCGCTTCACCACTGCTAGGTCAAAAGTCTGGAAATCCCTTCCTAACAGCTTCGTGTATCTACTTATACCATACAGACTTTGGCAGTTCAAGAAAGTGGCTCAACTACATTTTCAAGGGTAATTATGAAATTGAATCGAATCATTTATTGTCACATGTATTCAACGTAAAAATACAATGAAAAGTGTGTACCTTCACCGTACATACATGGTACCATTCACATTAACTTAGAATAAGACAAGAAAAAAAACTTCCCTTTCCACTGCCACAGTTCCACTCCAGGCTTTCCAACCCATGCCATGCCTCTGCCAGTGTATTAAATGCTGTGCTGGCCAGCAACACCCAAAAAAAGTGGAAGAATAATATTTTAAAAACATGTGAAGTGGCCGTAATGGATACCATTTACAAAATGCACAATCG